TTGTCTTCTTGGTTGAATAGATACACCAGACATAGGTGTCGGTTTTGTTAAGGGAAGGTTATTGTTTGGTTTAAAAACATTTGTTTTGTTGTAATTTTTACCAAACGTACCCGAACTAGTAGGGAATTTATGGGTTATTGCTTTTGTCTGTAAGTTTATTGGTTGTGAAGGAAATTGTGGCTTCACATGGAAATACGGGTTTTGTTGTCTTTGTTGTTGTTGTGTATTGTTTTGTTGGTGTTGAAATGTTTGATTATTTTTTGTCTTAAAATTCGAAAAGGAATTATTTTGATTTTTGTTAAATTTCATATGATTCTCAGCCATCTGATAGTTTAGTACAAAAGATGTTGCTGCGTCTAATGTTATAGGATTCTGAACCATTAAGATTGTTCTAAGCTCAACTGGTGAATTTGTTATCAAATTCTGTACTGCTGTAACTTCATTTTGAGCTACAAGAATATTTGCAACTGCTAACAAATTACTGTCACACATTATTTTTGAAGTAATTCTGTGATTAAGAGCTTTCAATCTTTCTAAATATTCATAAATTGATTCCTTTTGGTTTCTTGATGCATACATTAATTCTTGAATCAAATTTTGACGAGAATAAGGATCTCCATATTTAATTCTTAGAGCACCCTTAATATCTATTCATGATTTTAAATCTGGACGTGTCATCAAAAAATTTCCAGCATCATTGATAAGCTTTGATTTTATCGCAGTTATTACATATTCTTTTTGGGCAGGATCCCCTACGTAATAAGTGTGATAAAATTCATCAATATTACTAATGAAATACTCCAGATATTGAGTTTCGCCACCAAAAGGCTTCAAAAGTTGAACTATGAATTTCAAATTTTCACCCATGTTTCTGTTTTGTCTAGTTAATTGAATATTAGGTCTTAATTGATATAATTGACTTAGATATTCTTCAGTATCTGATTCAGATTCAGACATAAAAGAAAACTTTAATTAAACAAGTTTTATTTTAGAATTAAAAATTAAAATAATAGGATTAAAGAATGTTTTATCCAAAAATAAAAAGTAGATTTTCTTGAAAAAAAATAGGTTAAAACCTTTGCAAAAGAATTCAAGAAAAATCCAAAAATAACTCTTAAATATGAAACACCAATAACAAAATATTAGGGAAAGGTTTACTTACTAGGCTCGATGCTAATAACAGTAACACTCTCACTATTTATACGTTGGTTCTCAATGTCTCTTATGTCCAGTTAACACCAAGTGAAGTGGACAGGAATTTCCTCAAATTTCACTCCAATGATCACTGTAATCCAGGTTTCACTGCAATCCAATTTTCACTGTAATCCAAGTTATCACTTATAGATTCAGTTCGATTGTCTTTAGTAATTCGCGGGTCACGATCTCGAAATTCGGAAAAACTTGTGCACTCTGTCCGGTTTTTTACGAAAAAAACTGTAAAAATTATCCGCACGACTGCGCCAATTAAGTTTCAAATAAGAAACTTTACTTTTTTAAAAACTTTATTTTAATTAAAAGTAAAAGTAAAGTAACATATGAAGACTGGTGGAACTAGTTGCTGCTGCAAAGCATGAAAGCAAAAGAACAATTGTGCATGGCTGCACCGCTTTTTATAAACAATAAATGCAAGCTAGCAATATTCACTAAAAACGTCAACAATTGTGATGTCATCGTGGGCGAGCAATTAGTATGCTCCTTTAAAGCTATAGATTGATTAACTAATTAACATTAGTTGATATGGGAATCGTTCAATATAACTTGTAGATTGTAGATTGTATTACTTAGTATTTATTACCTTCACATGTAATTACCATTTATTGGTGTTTGTAAAGAGAATCAATAAAATAAAAAAATAAAATAAATTAGTTTCACATGTAGATACAAAATATAGGAAAACTTTTTAACGAATATTACCGCTTTTTTTGTTTGTACAAGAATAACAAGGTATTTATTTTTTTTTTTTTTTATACCTAGTGTGATAGCATAGACTTTGTGATAGTAGGTATACAGGGTGTCCCACGGTGGATGGCGTATTAGACGTTTATGGAAAACTAAAAAGCGAATCATTTTGAAAATTTGGCAACCGGGATAAACGACCATAATCTACACTTTAAAAATATTTTTGTTCATGCGGTGTTGCCGCTTCCAATCTAAACCAGTGGCAACATCGCTATTTTAGATAGAACAGCCTGTATGTGATTGCATATTTGGATTCTACGTAAAATTCTGAGCAGATTTCATGTGATATACCCTATACCTAAGTTCAACTGTTTTGGAAATATTGACAGTTGAAAATTGAGTTTTTGCAACTTTGACAGACTGTAAAACCTGAACGGTTAATTTTAGAGCAAAATCGATTTTACATTTCTATCTTAGATTTTCATAAACTATCATTTATTTAATTGGAATTTTCAATCATGGATTAAATTCAAAGTTGGTGTGAAATGATAGTTTATGAAAATCTAAGATAGGATGTAAAATCGATTTTGCTCTAAAATTAACCGTTCAGGTTTTAGAGTCTGTCAAAGTTGCAAAAAGTCAATTTTCAAGTGTCAATATTTCCAAAACAGTTGAACTTAGGTATAGGGCATATCACATGAAATCCGCTCAGAATTTTACGTAGAATCCAAATATGCAATCACATACAGCGTGTTCCATCTAAAATAGCGATGTTGCCACTGGTTTAGAGTACAAGCGGGCCAAGCGGCAACACCGCATGATCAAAAATATTTTTAAAGTGTAGATCATGGTCGTTTATCGCGGTTGCCAAATTTTCAAAATGATCCGCTTTTTAGTTCTCCATAAACGTCTAATACGTCATTCACCGTGGGACACCCTGTATAGTGTGCAATCATTAAAATTAGTAAATTAGATATTTATAAAGTAAAGTAGTACTTAATTATATTTGAAAAATTATTCATTTAAAATACAGCTTTTTTAGATTAATTATTATGTGAGGTTTATCACCCAAACGTTTTCTAGAAACTAGAAACCTTCAGTTGGCGAGTTCAATAAAGTGGCCAGTTGGCCCAGGTAAAGTGTCGAATTGGCAGGTCTCTATTTAGTCTTGGTGTCCAGTTGGCCGGTCGGTCAAGGGCTTAAATTTTACCTAGGTACAATAAAGTGCTGAGTTGGCGTCCGTCCGGAATTATCATCATTAGAGTCTAATATTGTCTGCAAAATTAATGCGTTTTTATCATCTCTTTCAGGATGTTGAAGATAAGATGCGGATTTTTGTATTTATTTTTTTTTTTGATATTCATTTCCTCTGTGGAGTAAGGGGAAACTTTTTTCGCTCATTTGTTAGTAAGGAGAATAGTTAATTTCGTTTTAAAGTGGTCAATAGGTACTGGGTTTATAGGCAAACAATGCCTATTCTAACACCCCATACCTTTCCACATTATTAATGTTCATTAAGATTGAATCGAATTGCTTTTGCAGATAAGAGTTTGGATCATCCGAATGTTATATTACCTACTATCCTAAATCCAAACTACAAAAAACTGTATATTTTTACAAATAATTATTATCTTGTAAAATGTACTTGTAATTTTGTTTTATAAAAATAGGAATAGTTAAAGAAACGATGGAAATAACAATTAAATTCTTGTTCTCGATTTGCTTTGCACCAGAGTTCGCTGTTCGGCTATTATCTCTAGTAAAATAATTACCCTGATTATAAACCATAATGATATCACGGTTACAACCGAAATCTAATAGGTACTTTAAAGGTTCGTGATTCTAAATTAAACTGCGTTATTTATTTTGCAATCACATCTATTCTGAATATGAATGACTACATACCTATTGCCTGCGCTGAAACTTACAAATCAGCAATCAAATGTTTAACATAACAAAGCTTAATCAAGTAGGTATCTATAATAATTCAATACAGGGTGTATAAATGTCACACGTACAGGGTGTACACTGTAAGGGGTGTCCGAATTTGGATGGTTTTATTAGGAAACGTCAATTTCTGAGCGAGATACAAAAAAAACTCCGAGGCTCACATTTCTTGAAATTTTGATTGGTGCAAACCGCATTTTGATATCTTCAACCGTTTAGCCGCTAGAGGGCGATTCTCGATTTTGAGCAATACTGTGAAATCTTCATAACTTTTTTGTTTAGAAAAATAATTGATTTCCGTAAAAACTTCCTAAAGGAATTTTTTCAAGCAAAATTCAGTGACGTTCTCAGTTTTTTTCTATTGGGCCTCGATTTCAAGATATTGACCAAAATCCGATTTTTTTCAATGGGACACCCTATATATTAATAGCTCTCTTAAAAGCTCTGCTTTTCCTGATTTCAATGATATAAATTTCGATAGGTTTATCTCTAGCAGTTTTCGAGAAAAAAATTATTTCGTTTTTTTCCATAAGAAACAATGTGTTAAAATAGGTCTTTATATTTGTAAGGAAAATGAGAAAGGTCTCTTTCTAACTCATTGTTTCTTATGACAAAAACCAAATATTTTTTTTTTTCTGGAAAACTGTTAGAGATAAACCCATGGAAATTTGTATCATTGAAATCAGCAAAAGCAGAGCTTTCTAAAGAGCTATTAATATATAGGGTGTCCCATTGAAAAAAATCGGATTTTTGTCAATATTTTGAAACCGAGGCCCAATAGAAAAAAACTGAAAACGTCACTGAATTCTGCTTAAAAAAGTGCTTTTAGGAAGTTTTTACGGAAATCAGTTATTTTCATACACAAAAAAGTTGTGAAGATTTCACAGTATTGCTCAAAATCGAGAATCGCCCTCTAGCGGCTAAACGGTTGAAGATATCAAAATGCGGTTTGCACCAATCAAAATTTCATGAAATTTGAGTCTCAGAGTGGGGGGTTTATTTTTTTGTATCTTGCTCAGAAATTGACGTTTCCTATTAAAAGTGTCCAAATTGGCCTACCCTGTACACATGTCACAATTGCATCTTTATTTACCTTTATCTTAAAGTTGACTATCAAGGCCTAGATTAATAGACAAATATAATTTACTTTTTAGAACCCCTAGGCTAGTACTACCTTGAAGAGAATTATGGAAGAAGAAATCGCGCCTATTATGACAATAACGTTCAGCAATGAAGCAGACGCAGACGTATATAAAACTAAACTTTGTGAATTTATTCAAACTTTTCCTGAATTGAATTTGAAAACTGTGGACAATGTAACGAATGTGTTCAAGAATTCGAGTATTTCCACAGAAAAAGGTGTGTGCCAATAATGGAAATTTTGTTTTGCAAATATTTCTAATGTTACTACAATTGCAGAAGAACTAAACGAAGTTAATTCCGCGTCTACAAAGTTAGGTTCCAAGAAGTCACGCAAAAAGAAAAAACGTCAAAAGGACCCTGTTTTTTTTCTTGATACGCAACCTTCTCTTGATGAAGGAAATTTCATTTCCATTTCTACAGGTGAGGTTCGAAAACTTGGAATTGAAGAAGCTGAAGAAGAACCAGTAAAATTAACTTTTGGACCCACGTGCTTTAACTGTGAAGGAAATCATTCTCTTAGAGACTGTCCGCTTCCTAAAGATATGGCAAAAATTAATTCAAACAAACAAAATCATCAGAAAAATAGAAGTGTGTAAGTTATCTTTTCAATTTTTAACATAGCTAGCTTTATATTGTATAAGTATGTCAGTATGTTTACAGGGTGTTAATGAATAGAATAGTGGGGTCAAACTTCTAGGGTGAGTATCTAGAAGTTTGATCCCACTATTTATTATCACCCTGTGAGTATATACATAAATTATATTCTTAGAAAAATTATAGTCTTTTTCTTTGTATATACTTTCATTATTAGAGACTTGATGAAACTTCTCAGGATGATCACTGCACCTTAAATCAAAATTCAGATTAGCTAGAATTATGCCTGGACTAACTGCCTAGATATATTTCAGGAGGTACCATTTAGAAGACGATCTCAAATTTGGCCACATACATGCAGGCAGAATATCCGACAACTTAAGATATGCCCTCGGCTTGAAGAAATATGAACTTCCACCATACATTTACAAAATGCGACTGATAGGTTATCCACCTGGATGGTTGGAAGCTGCCAAATTAACAAGTTCGGACTTATTGATGTATGACGGAAAGGGAAACACTATCAAAAACCAGAATGCTAAAAAGGCTACTGGTTTGGATCAAGAAAAAATTATTCGCTTTCCAGGATTCAATGCACCTTTGGAAAGTGGATTTAAAGATGTAAGTAAAGTTAAATGCACCATTCTGGTTAGCTAGGTCCTGATTCAAAAAAGGGCAGAAATGTATAAACCTGGTTTTCAAAGAAATTATTATTTTAAAAAATTTATTCATGATTTTTGATAATTTTATTAGGAATCTAATGTTTAAGTTTTGTTTTTTTCTGCAATGAAACCGAAAAATTAACAAGTTTTTTTTGAAAAACCTCGCTGCTCCATGCCTTCTGCACCGAAGGGTGGTTAACTCCTTAAAATATGTACACAGATTTTAAATCTTCATTAATTTTGTAGGATTTTGAGAATTTTCAAAATCTTCACATGATTTTACAGGATTTTAAAAGATTTTAGGTGATTTTGGAGCATTTTAGGGAAGTTAGAAGGGTTTTTAGAGATCTTAAAGGATTTTTAGAGATTTTAACAGATTTTTGGAAATGTTAAAGGAATTTTTTTATTAGGAATTTTATAAGATTTTGCCGGATTTGTTTTGTTCTAATCAAATTTTGTTAGGTTTTTAAAGATTTTCAGGGATTTTAAGTAGATCTTATGACAGGATTTTAAAAGATTTTAGATTTATTAGATTTTAGGTGATTTTGAATAATTTTAGGGAATTTAAAAAGGGTTTTTATGGCGTTTTTACCAACTAATTTAGGGAAGCCTTAACGATGAGTATTTTTTAAACTGACATTTCTCCATAGAAGTCTGTCATTTTAAAGAATACTTATTGTTGAAGCTCCCATAAAATAGTTGGTGAAAACGGCCATTAGAGATCCTAAAGGATTTTTAGAAATTTTAACGGATTTTTGGAAATTTCAAAAGACATTTGGAAATTTGGAAGGAACTTTCTTTTAGGAATACATATATTAATCATTTTATCTACAAACGTTTGGTTATGACGTTTTTACTCGCGTTTTTACGTAACTATTTTTCCAGTATTTGAGTTATGTCATGAGGCTCATAACACAACTAGTTGTGTTATGGACTAGGTTATGAATTCATAACACAACTAGTGATATTATGGACAAGGTTATGAATTCATAACACAACAATTTTTGGTGATTTAACAAATGTCAACGGTAAACCTGTAAAAGTAAAATGAAGGTAGACAACGACTAATAGACGGAAATGACTGGAAAAACATTCTTATTTTTCGCTTTGTAGATAAATAACTACATATTATAATATTTTGTCGGATTTTTTTTGTTCTAATAAAATTTTGTGTGATTTTGTGACATTTGATGCAATTTCAAGTGATTTTAAAGGGATTTTGTGAAGTTTTGTTAGATTTTCAGGGATTTTAAGTACACTGTGTACAAGTTTTTCTGGACTTGTAAACAGATTTTGACCAATCCAGCGCTCCGAGGTTTAGTTAACTCTATAAAAAAATGAACACATATTTTAAATCTCAATTGATTTTGTAAGATTTTGGGAATTTTGAAAATCTTTACAGGAGTTCAGAAGATTTTAGATTTTCAAAATTCTAAGTGATTCTGGAGCATTTTAGGGGGTTTTTGAAAAGTTTCTAGAAATTCTAAATTCAAATGACAAATTTGAATGGAAAACAGAAATTCCTAGACATTTTACTATAGGATTTCATAATACTTTTCCGAATTTCATCATATGATTCTATGGAATTCCACCATAAAATTCAATGGAATTCTTGAACAAAAATTCCTCGGAATTACACTATTTTTGAGATTTCATGAAATTTTTCAGCATTCCACTAAAATTTCAAGTTATTTCATGGGAATTTTGCAAAAATTTTTGTCAATTCCATAGAAATTCCTTAAAATGTCACTAGAAGATTTTATTCCTCGAAATTCCATTCAAATGACAAATTTGAATAGAAAAAAAAGTTCTAGAAATTTTACCATAAGATTTCATAATACTTTTCCGAATTTCAGCATAAGATTCCATAGAATTCCACCTTAAAATTCAATGGAATTCTTGTACAAAAATTCCTCGGAATTACAGTAAAAGATATCATGAAATTTCTCGGAATTCTACGAAAATTTTATGTAATTCGACAGAAATTACTCAGAATTTCACTAAAATTTAATTTATTCTTCGGAATTCTGTCGAAATTTCTCGTGGTTCCATGGAAATTCCACGGAAATTTTATTTAATTTTAAGGGAACTCTTCGGATTTCATGTAATTTCACTGGAATTCCGCAATAAGGTTTCAAGGAATTCCATGTATTTAATTCGACGAGAATTCCTTGGAATTTTACTCGACATTTCATCGAAATTTTATGTAAGTCAACACAAAATGAAATTATATGCATATAATTTGATGGAAATTCTGCGAATATTTCATAAATTTTTTTGTTTTTTTCGAAATTACACTGAAATTCTCCAAAATTCTATAGAAATTCCAAATTCTATATTTTTTTTAAAACTGAAGCTTCCTAAAACTTCACCACTGCTATATCCTGGAATTCCACAAAATTTTTATAAAATTTTTCGGAATTTCATTGACATTTCCTTTTCGGAATTTCATTAAAATTTTTTGAAATTTTTTTGAAATTTCACTGAATTCCACGTTATTAGTTGAATATTTCTCAAAATTCCAATGAAACTTCAATTTTTTTTTTCAAAATTTCATTAATTTTTCGGAATTTCACCGAAATTCTCTTTCAATAGTCAGGAATTTCTGGGAATATTAATGAAACTTCAAGTAATTTCTTGAAAATTGACCGAAATTCTTCCGAAATATATTGAAATTTCATATCATTACATTGGAATTTTTCCATTCACCGAAATTGTAAGTTTTTAGCCGGAAATTCCACTTGTGAAATTTTCTCTAATTTTACTAAAATTCAGTAATTCGATAGGAATTTTTGGAATATCAATTTCACTAAAATGCCATGTTTTTAACTGGGAATGAAAATAAAACTTCATGTAACTGATTACATTAGGATTTTTTGGAATTTAACTGGAATTCCTTATGAAACGATAAGAGTTGTTCAAAATTCCAATAAAATTTCATGTAATTCCCTGACAATTCTTTGGAATTTCATGCAATTACATTAGAGCTCTATATATAATTCGATGTAGTTTGAATTCGATGTAATTTTTTGAAACTTTTTATAAATTCTTTATGTAATTTAACGAGCACTGAAATTTCATGTTGGGAATTTCAGTGTAATACCATGTAATTGTTTAGAATTCCTCCATGCAACTCATTCAGGATTTCATGAAATTCGATCGAAATTCCACTGAAATTTCATGTAATTACTCGAAATTTCATGTAATTCGAGAAGAGCTAAAATTAAATGTGAATTCTATGTCACATTTCACACCATAAAATTCAATGGCATTCTTGGAAATTTTTTTTCTTCGGAATTACAATATAAGATTTCATGAAATTCTTTGGAAATTCAGTAAAATTTCAAGTTATTCCATGGGAATTCCGCGGAAATTTTAGTCAATTCAATAGAAATTCCTTAGAATTTCATGGAATTCTTTGAAATTCCATTCAAGTGATAAATTTGAATGGAAAAACGTAAATTCCTAGAAATTTAACTATAAGATTTCATAATACTTACGAATTTCATCATAAGATTCTATGGTATTCCACCATAAAATTTAATGGAATTCTTGCACAAAAATTCCTCGGAATTACACTATGAAATTTCATGAAATTCTTCGGAATTCCATTAAAATTTCAAGTTATTCCATGGGAATTCCATGAAAATTTTAATTAATTTCATAGAATTCTTAGAATTTCACCAAAAGATTTTATGGAATTCCTTGAAATTCCATTCAAATCGTAAATTTGAATGAGAAAACGGAAATTCCTAAAAATTTTACTATAAGATTTTATAATATTTTTCCAAATTTCATCATAGGATTTCATGGAATTCCACAAAAATTCCTTGGAATTACACTATGAAATTTCATGAAATTTTTCGGAATTCCACTAAAATTTCAAGTTATTCCATAGGAATTCCGCGAAAAGTTTTAGTAATTCCTTAGAAATTCCTTAAAATTTCATCGGAATTACAGTATACGATTTAATGAAATTCCTCGGAATTCCACTTAAATTTCAATTTCAAAATTTCATTTTTTTTTTAACTTTACTGAAATTCCCTAAAATTTCACCACTGAAATATCCTGAAATTCCACAAAATTTTCATAAAATTCTTCGGAATTTCATTGACATTTCTTAAAAATTCCTCGAAATTTACTAAAATTTTATGAGAATATTTTGAAATTCTACGTTCAACGCCGAAGATTTCTCGGAAGTCCAATGAAACTTCAAGGAATTTTTCGAAATTTCATTTATTTTTATAAGAAATTTCATTGAAATTCTCTTTTAATAGCCAGGAATTTCTGGGAATATTAATGAAGCTTCAAGTAATTTCTTGAGAATTCACTAAAATATATTGAAATTTCATATCATTACATGGGAATTTTTGGGAATATCACCAAAATTCCATGTTTTTAGCCGGAAATTCCTCGTCATTCCACTTGCGGAATTTTCTGGAATTTTACTAAAATTCAGTAAGAACTGAAATTTCATGTTGGGAATTTCGGTGGAACTTCATATAATTGTTTAGAATTCCTCCATGCGATTCATTTAGGAGTCCGTGTAATTCGATCGAAATTTCATTGAAATTTCATGTAATTCGAGAGGAACTAAAATTTAATATGAACTCTATGGAAACTCCGCAAAAATTTCACATAATTTCTTTTTCAGAATAACATAATTCTACAGAAATAACTCGAAATTCCACTAAATTATGGAATTCTGAGAGACTTAACAGATTTTTGGGGATTCCAAAGAATTTTTGGGAATTTCAAGGAAAATATTTTTTAGGAATGTTAATGATTTTATGAGATTTTGCAGGATTTTTTTTGTTTCAATGCAATTTTGTTAGATTTTGTGCAATTTCAAGAGATTTTGTGTGATTTTGTTAAATTTTTAGGGATTTTGAGTAGATTTTATGAGATTTTCTGGGATTCTGACCAACTTGTACACAGATTTTGACCAGTTAACCACCCCTCGTTCTGCACTATTCAAAAAATTGTTTTAGTGTTTCCTTGGTTTTGCCCTGTCTACCAGTTCACTTCTCTCCATAAACACATAATCTAATATAGACATTTATTTTTGTCTAGTACCAAAATATTTCATGAATATGTAATCATTCTTATCCGCAATTTAAGGAGTATAGGCACTATGGTGTGCCCAAGTACAATGAAACTCAATTTCCCAAACAAGTTGAAGAATACATCAAATTTGCCCAGAGTCAAATCGACGATCTTGAAACAGAAAATATGGATATAGATGAGACCAGTGATGCAGAATCAGATGACGTTGTAATTGTAAATTTACCGGTAAACAATAATACTTATTTATTTCTTCAAACTTTCACAGATGCCATATAACGAAATAACTACATATAGGTACAAAACTTATCATAAAAGCATTAAGCTATCAGTCTAGTAATAGCAAAAACGATATTCGAATTAATCATTATAATGTTTTAGGAGGATAAAGAAATAGAAGCCATAAGTTTACAAGAACTAGAAAATCAAAAAAATAGTATTCTTGAAGAGATCAAGAAGTCTCAGGAAACAGTACCCTGGGTTCCAACATGTGAAACAAAAGAACTAGTAGTTGAAGAAAATGTATCAACAAATGCTAATGACAATGAACAGAACACTGAAATTGAAAAGGAAAAGTCCGATTCCGATGGCAACACACAAACAGACACAAATGACGAAGAAATTACTGAAGTAATAGATTTAACTGCTACATGTACCGAGACCGAAGCTAATTTAACATTAAACAACAGTGTGCCTGAGCCTGACACAAGTCTAGGAACTCCAAAAGCTACTATAATGGGAACGCCTATATTCAAGAAAACTTTATCACCTTATGTCCAGGTGCCTCCTCTAGAACATTTCAGGGAAGGTGTTAGTCAAGTAATTAACTATGAAAATTTGCCCAATACTGAGGGCAAGTATGAAATAATGAGAGGAGTTCTTCAGAAAATTCGTCAACTAAAGCCATAAATTACTTGTTCAGCGGTTTAAATGAGATGTTAATTTAATTATTTAAAATATAATGCATGGAAGGATGTTTTTTGGACAACAATAAGGTTGTATTTAATAATTTGAAATCGTGTGGCAGCACAAAATAGTTATTTATGCAACAAGTGTGTAAAGTGAAAAAAGGTGCTTTATGCACATATTGTATACAAAATTTTTTCTACTACCAATTAAATATGTGTAAAAAAATAAATTTAGAAAAATACTTTATGCACTAGTGCGTGAAGTAATTTACCAGAAAAATGCCAAATTGACAGTGTCGATATTTGTCATTGACATTACTTTACGCACTTGTGTGTGAAGTGAATTATTTTACGCACTAGTGCATGAAGTGAAATTTTACGTACTAGTGCGTGAAGTGAAATTTTACGTCTTCTGAATAGCGCATGAAGTGAGTACTTTACGCACGGTAGTAGAAAATAGTTATTTATGATGTAAGTGCTAAAAGTGACATTTTATTTTGTGAAAAGGGAAGTTTGGGAGACGACGCCGAAGGCGGAGTGTTCCATCCCTTTGAACAAAATAAAAATCACTTTTAGCACGAATATCATACACTATTTTTTCTACAAACACACTAAAAGTGATTACTTTTAGCACTAGTGCTAAAAGTAATCACTTTTAACACCAGTGTTATAAAATGGCATTTTAGACACTGACAACATCCATTAAAAATGACACTTTTAGTGACGTTTGTAGAAAAAAGATTTTTTTTTTGTAATTTGACGACCAGAACCATGTTGAGAAAACAAAATAAAAGTGGCAAGGGTCTTTTGTATTCTGTAGTTTACTATGACTATGAATAATTATTATTATTGCTGCTCCAAAAACTTTTCTATGATAAATTTCTAAATAAATATTTGTTTTCAAAGATGATTTTGTTTTCATGATATGCCATCTGATAGGAGTCATATAACCAATTTTTAAATATAGGTTTGTTCCCACCTGTCAAAAAAACCGTCCCAGAACGGTTTCGGAACCACTCTGTATACGAATTTTGGTTTCTGCATAAAAATTTTAAGTTTTGCGCAGAATCCTGACGGTAATATTACGGTTTCCTGCTGGGTTGGAACAAAGCTTATATTATCCAACATTTCTTTCAGTAGGTTTTAAAGTTTTGCAAAAAGTAGTGAATACTTCTTCGGTTGCATGAGAGTCATTTTTCAGGGAAGAGAGAGAATGAAATAATGAATTGAACAAGAGAAAGGAAAGTCTTAATACTCTTCATAATTTCATTCAACCACAGATTTGTCAAATTCTCAGAAGTCAAATTTCATACAGTTTTAAAAATTTAGCATATTATTTTAAAAAAACACTAGAACACGACGATCTCAATTTCTAGTGGTGTTGTTTTTGAATTAATTTGTATTTATACAAGGTGACTCAAGAAGAAATATCACACGACACTTCATTTTGTTAAATGGAATATTTTGATGGATATCGATCGAGCGCATCGTAATTCGTTCATGGATGGTGTTTAAGAAAAATTCTGACCTAAAAATAAATGTGTTTTTGAATCAATTAGATTGTGACCTAAAGAAGTCACAAACCAGTCAGAGTGAATATCATTGGTTCAAACTAGTTTTCTGACTGTTTTCAACTAATGAAATTCGCTCTGACTGGTTTGTGATTTCTGCAGAAACAGACCTTATTAATTAACATTGTAAAACAACTCTTTCTAGATCTTGTTTTCATCTTCCTCTTTGCCTATTATGTTAATCACAATTAAATAATAATTTTCTTCATAAATTTAAATTCTAAACTACGACCGCTAGTGCAAAACAGTTGACGACTTAGGTAATGACGTCGGAAATTGTGACACACCAATATGGCGGCCATTACGAAAAACGAGGCCGATAAGCAATCCTTAGTAGTGTGTATTATCCTTGAAAATAAAAACGAAGGACCACCCAGACAAGAGGAGCACGCGCATCTGTAGTGACGTTACAAAGGTATCGGCGCTTGACAGTAATAGGCAATCCTCTTTGCTCATACTCCTTGGTCTATGACAATCGTCGGTCGACTGTCATTGTTATTGGCTGTCTTTCTCCGTCTCTGTACGTTATATCTTTCTTTTCTATCGTGTAACCTTAGAGCAGGTGAAGGTAAAGAGTGCGTTCACAGTCGAACGCCGGATGCTCACCGAGTGCATACAGTGACTCTATAACCCACAGTGGCGACAATTGCTGTCTCATTTTTGATTGGTTCTAAAATCCCATATATTTATATTGAAAACACCGCCATCTTGTTCCCAACCCCTTGTTACTTTTTAATATGAATATATGGGATTTAGGTGAACATCCATCATAAATCATGGAAAATAACGTATTTGATGGACCTAATAATGGTCATCAAATACGTCGATTTCAATTTTTTATGATAGATGTCCATTTGAATCCTATATATTAATATTTAAAAGTAACAAGAGGTTGGGAACAAGATGGCGGCGAGACCTCTATTGTCGCCACTGTATGTAAAGGTTTATTTAGCCACTGTAAGTGCACACCGAGCGCGTCTTTTCCCGGGTTAAGTCGTTCACGGATCTACCTAATTTACCCGGTTAAAATATTTGCTCCGTTCACAGAGCCATGATAAGTTTACCCGGTTGTACAACTTTTTAACCCACTCTTCAGTGGCGGCTCGTGACTATTTAAATTGAGGAGGCTAATTACAGTATAGAATTTCATGAAATTCCTCGGAATTCGATTTAGATTTCAATTTCAAAATTCCATATTTTCACTAAAATTCCTCAAAATTTTACCACTGAAATATCCTGGAATTTTACAAAATTTTCATAAAATTCTTTGGAATTTCATGTAATTTCTTAAAAAATTCTCGGAATTCACTAAAATTTTATGAGAATATCCACGTTCATAACCGAAAATTTCTCGAAAGTCCAATGAAACTTCAAGGAATTTTCAAAATTTAATTTATTTTCATAAGAATTTCACTGAAATACTCTTTTAATAGCCAGGAATTTCTGGGAATATTAATGAGATTTCAAGTAATTTCTTAAAAATTCATCGAAATATATTGAAATTTCATGTTATTACGTGGAATTTTTCGGAATATCATCGAAATTCCATGTTTTTAGTTGGAAATTCCTCGGCATTACTAAAAATCAGTAAAAACTGAAATTTCATGTTGGGAATTTCGGTGTAATTTCATGTAATTGTTTAAAATTCCTCCATATAATTCATTTAGGATTTCGTGTAATTCTACCGAAATTCCACTAAATTATGAAATTCTGAGACTTTAACAGATTTTTGGGGATTCCAAAAAATATTTGGGAATTTTCAAGGAAATATTTTTCAGGAATGTTAATGATTTTATTTTGAATATTTCCGATTTTTGATTGGCTTCAAATTATCCGCTGACCAATAGAATTATAGAGTGGGGGGCCCCGTGATTAAAATAACTCTAGCCCTTCGAGCTCACGTATCACTCTAGCCCTTCGAGCTTGTATTACTTCGGGCTCGCATATGACTCCGGCCCTTCGGGCTCGCATATGACTCCGGCCCTTCGGGCTCGCATATGACTCCGGCCCTTCGGGCTCGCATATGACTCCGGCCCTTCGGGCTCGCATATGACTCCGGCCCTTCGGGCTCGCATATGACTCCGGCCCTTCGGGCTCGCATATGACTCCGGCCCTTCGGGCCGGTATTACTGAGTATCCCAGATTCACAGATTTTTGTCGTGGAGGCGCGGGATTGATTGAAATAATGTTGTCAAATTTTTCTAAATTACATTGAAATATCGAAATTTGGAAAGTGTAATTTGTGAATTATTATTTTAATTAGAAATTAGGAATAAAAAACTGAGATTGAATTTTTAATTTTTTGGGGGAGGCTTAGCCTCGCCTGCCTCCTCTGACGAGCCGCTACTGCCACTCTTAGACATGGGTAAAATTTGTCGCGCAGGCGTTTTTCAAGAATATTTGAAATTTGATAAACAATACTGTTGGTAATCTTTCTGGGCCATACATTGCTGACTTCAACTGGTTTTCAAGTTTTCCAGGAAGCCAGTTGAAAGCTTATCTGGAAACTCGCTATAATTGCGTATTGTTGTCATAAAATTATCCTGTCTTTCAATATGCCTTTTTTCAGGCTTGAACTTAAACTGCTAGCGCTAGCACATGCAGCTTGTGCTACAGCATAGGTGACTTCTTCCTCTGTACCAGACGAATCCGAAGAAGTTTCAATAGTACTTTCAAAAAATATTATTCCCGGATCCATCTCGAAACATTCAAAACACAACGTACCGTAACTTGGGGTGAATTCGAACGCAATTTCGAGGTTTTTTTCAAATTCTGACGGTGTTCGACAAAAAAAAATTATGAAAATTAAAATATATCATTATTAAACCTTCCTTTAGACATTCCCAAAAAAAAAATTAATTTGAAAAATAATTAGTATTTTTTTTTAATTAGTAAATGTTGTTCGAATTCGCCCCTATGGGTGGGGCGAATTCGAACAAAGCTTTAAATGACACAAAATTGTTATTTTAGCCTTCAATAAAGGTAAATTCGAACAAATTAAGTCTTTTTTAGACCTCTAAATAGCTTTAAAAAGGGGAAAAAAAAAGTTTGACATTATATTTTTATCAAAAAAATGCTTTATTTTCTTATAAGGATTACAAAATAAACTTAATTCTAAAAAAAAGCATAGAATACATACTAGAAACAAAAGGAACAAAAATTCTTAAATGTAAAAAAGGAACAAAAATAACTTCTAATGAATAAAGAAAAAAAGATCAAAGTTTACTCAATAACATAACCTTTGGGTAAGTTTTTGAACATAAAACGATTTCTGCGAAGGTCCTTTGGTGCAGAAAGTTTCATAACAATATCACTTCTGTTTATTACAACCTCATCTTTTACATCTGGATAGAAAAAATAACTTTCAAGCTTACTAGACTTTTTTTGTCTTAAAAAATTTACAAAAACAGTCTCAGGCTCCTGAACAAAAACTTCAATAATTTTACCAATAAAAAATCTTGTAGTTTTTTTAGGACATTTAAAGCTTACTAAAATATAGTCATTGGCAGTGATATCTTCAAAACTAGAGTCTTGTGGGTTATTAGTTCCTGGAATAAACTCATCCATGTCAGAATGATCATCTCCATTTTCTTCCATGTCAGAATGATCATCTCCACTTTCTTCCTTGTCGGACTGATCAGATTCGATAAGAAACTCGTCGCCAGTGCTGCTTTGTTCTCTTGAAGCTGAAGTTTCACCTAAATCTCTTGCTCTTATTCCTTTTCCTGGTGCTAAATTAATTTTTTTGCCCCGTTTTATGTTCTGTTTGGTTTCCAGAGTCCTTGATTCTTTCATAAAATTAACAAAAGTTGAACTCCAGCGTCGATCGATTTCAGCCTGGTTTTGCTGTTGTTCCAGTTGTTCTTCTGTTAGTTTCGGAAGTTTATTTAAAACAACATTTTTATCACACGGAATTATACCGCTAGCCCTGAAACCGGAAATGATGTTTTTTGCAGCATTAAGCTCCACATTGTCCAATAATTTCTTTAACAATCTTGGAAAATCGGACTTAGGGAGGACGCCTCTACACAGTAACTTTCTCCAGATTTTTTTGAATGGAGCAAAGAAAGCTACATCCAAAGGTTGTAATAGATGGGTGGCGTTAGGCGGCAAAAGTATAAACTCGATATTGTTCTGTTCGCAGAGTTGTATAACTCTGATTGAAAGGTGACTGGACAAATTGTCACCAATTAAAATTTTTCTACCTGTGCATTTTCGAAAATAAGGTAAAGCTACTCTCTCAAACCAGTCTTCGTAAACGGCGCCTTCGAACCAACCACTTTTGGTGCGATTGTACACTGCATTATCAGGACCATTTTCTGTCCAAGTGGGG